CCCCCCTTTGTGAGGCTCCACTTGTACAAAAGGTTCCACTTTGTTGGTGTGTATCCGGACCACTGGCTCCACTTCTACTTCTATACAAATACACAAATGCTCCATTTAATTGAGATAAAATTAAATGCAAATAATGAGAATTGAAATAATAAGAAATTACGGGATTAAATTAGAATATTATGTAATTGTTCGGACCACATTAAGTTTATTTTATCTCGAAGGAAAAATATGTGTCTATAGTTTGGCAACACATTATTGTTGACAACATGGTCTGTAATATAGTGAGGATAAAGCAGGTACAGTATGCTACAGAATATATTGGAAAATCAGACAAAAACTAAGGTTACTTAAAATCGTTTCACAAAACGTAAATGAACCCGAATACTAAATGGCAGTCGGAGATGCAGAATATGTTAGTTCATATGTCTATGCATATGTATGTAATCCCATCACCACGACATACCCAGAATTATCGCCAACTACTAGTATATTTTCTTCGCCTGGTATTCGATTTCCTCCATTGGGTACATTGCCAATACCTAATCTGTCACTCATTGAAATGAACACATCTACACATAAGTTGCGGCAATGTGGCTCATGTTATTATTTGCTTTCTACCAAAATAAATGAAATCAACGCATTTCGTGCCCATTGCGCGCTGGTCTGCTATTTCCATAAAACATACAGTTCCCCGTCTTCTCGATCTCAACAACCAGTTTTATGCTTATTTTATGTCTCCAATTTTGAGCCATGTTTTTTTAGAAATCCGTTTCATTATATGCACTTTCACTTTGAACTCACCCAATAGATCATAATCTTTTGGGGTTACATTCCCCCAAAACCGTAATTTACACTCTGAAAACCAACGCGAGTGGGCCATTAGCCATTTCCTCGAATTGGAGGTAAGGATAAAAGGTTTTCAGGAATTCGAGCACCCCTTGTCACGAAATACTGCAATACTACTTATTTTTTTTACAAATAGCTTTCTAGTAATCAGCGATTCTCCGCGTCCAGGTGTTCTTTCGTAAGCGTGATCGATGCATTTTGTAATACATTTCGGTAAATGCTAGGTAGACATAGAGTTATAACCAGTTCCATCATTACCTCATATATCTCGTATTACATTTACAATTCTTAATTGGACATTCAGGTCTCTCGTAATAGTACAATAACTCTACCTCGTTTTGCTCGACTGTCAGTATCACTTTGTGCTTGAACGCCTGGCAGGAGATGTCGTACCATATACGGCGTCATTTCGCCGCCGGATAATCGCGATAAATCAGTAGTCTAGACTCGCTTTTCAGTCTCTGTCCCTCGCGTATATAGTGTAGTACAGTAAAGTAGTATAGTACAGCTTATTTTTATTATAGTGACAAGCCCATGGCTTGATACTCAGTCCAACAACGACTCATAATATATAAGTCACTACAAGAAGAAAAATATGTACATTTTAAAAATTACACAAGTGAAAAATAGCGTATAGCGTCTCTGTGCGCATTTTCTACGCTTCTAATGAAAAAAGGTATGTCAATGCTAATTTATGTTATTTTCAGCGCTCTTCCATGTTTATAGTAAATGTACACGGAAACTGTATCGGTAGCTCAAAGAAAGTATAATTTTCCAGTTCCAAAGAAATTTGTGTCACAGTGCCCCTGAAAAAAAAAAACTAGTATCCTTTTCTCCGAAATTTTCTCAACATGATTGTTGCGGACGGGAAAATGATGGAGATCATTTGGTGAAAAAGAATATTACTATAGGAGTGTCTGCCATTCGATATGATTGCTGATGTAAGTATAAACATCGGAGATAAACTTGAAAAAAAAAATACTTATGTGACACAGGGCGTTTAATTTGAACTTAACATTGAACTATAAACTAAGGTAGTTGTTAAATAGTGCAATTTTTTTTTTCATATAAATGGTCATTGCATCATGTTCAGTCTTACAAAATACGTACCGAGTCGATTCGAATAAAACAGCATAACTAACGTTAAGCAAGCAATGCGGCGGCCAATTTTAAAATCAAGGTTTTGATGAAAACGTTGACCAACACGAACGATTTCAAACACAATAGTCTCTTTTATTGAAATATACATCAATATAACACCCTATTGAAACTATTAAAACTTTAAGGAGTGGAAAATGGCAGTTTTTCTAAAAAAAAATATGTATGAAAATAAAAGCTATTCTCCTGATAATTCATGATCAGTGCTTTATGCCTTGCCATTTTTGTCCAAGATACTAGTAGTATTGATATCATGGTTAAATCAACGTTTTATGGCTGAGTTCATTCAGTCTGCTGCGAACACCTGAGATACCGATAATCTGAGCCAGCTTTCGTATGCACCAACTTGTCTTTGATATCATGACAAATGCATCTATATCTCCCATATCCAAAATAAAACATAAACATATTTTCCTCTCATGGCGTCATTACTCATGTTAGTAGGGCCAGTCAATTCATTTTTGTGCATATGTGACGGAGACATGTACTTTACTGTATTCAATTAGCACACATAAGTAGTCTTGTCCAATCTATTCTGTTCTCCTAGTATCTATATGAATGGCATCGACGTATCCGTCTAAAGACGCTAATTATACCTTTCAATTCAATTCAATTCAAGTCCACATTCCGGTCGGTTGTCTTGACAAACATTTGTGTACATCCGTGTTGAATCGCACCACTACGGACTGTCACTCAGCGGGAGGATGAATAATGCACGTCATTCATTATGTTATTAAATTACCTGAAGGTGCCGCCACTCGCAATCAATCGCAATCAAACTACCCGGAGAGGGCGCTGTCAGACACGTGGTTTATTTTCATACAATCTACGGGGTTAACGTATTGGCGGTATATTTCTTTGATCGG